GTCAATTACACCAGCCCAGCGTCTCCTCCTTTGAGCAGCAGTAATACCACAACACCTGAGCTTCTTAGTTAAAACTTTTTCTCTGTAAAGGTGTCCTCAAAGTCACTGCCCTCTGACTGAAGCATTCAGCTGCTTACAAGTCACGGCTATTGGCAGAAGGGACATGGTGGCATGGAGAGCATCTAAGGGAGTTTGAGGACTTAGGTACCAAAGAAAAGCACAGACCTGGCCAACTCCACCTCCTTTGAAAGCACACATGTGGGAGAGAAGGGTGGCTGTGGGAAACAGAGGGCACAGTGCACACACTCGGAGCTTAGGGGTCTTAGGAGCAGCACGAGTTGAGAAGGGCTGTGTGAGGCCCCTAAGCAGAAGACAGATGCCTCCAGCCCAGGGAGCAGGTGTCTGGCGCCTCTCAGATCTGGATTTGGTTTCTACCTCAGCTGACATTTAGAAGGCATAATGGCAGTGCAAATCTTTGCCAAAGATTGAGAACATGAGATTTATACAGCCTGTGCACACCTACTCGCCCCAGGTGGAAATCACTACCCTCTCACTGTCACTACCCAACTGAGACACCAAGAGTAAGATCAGAGAGAAAGGTGACTGTTCTATTGTGTTTTACAAAGTTTTCTGCACAAGAGCATTCCTGGAAAAGAGAACAAAACAAACACGACTTCCTTCCAAATCTCCATCCTTCTTTTCCTGCAAAGTGTCTCGGAGGTAGGAATTTTCACTGACCACCACCTGCAAACTCACAGGCTTTCTGCTGTGGTGAGAAATACAATCCTGTGAAGGAGTCAACAAAGGAGCTAAGTGTGTGGTGTTTTTTGAGACCTGGTGGGCTGAATGAAAGTCAGGGGGCGGGAGCTTGTTCTTCTTTGTTTAATGCATGTCAAAGCCTGCTTTCAAAGCACTCCGCTTCACTCCAGACTCCAGAATAGATTGGCCCTCTCGGGCCTTTCAAGACTCCTGCGTGGAATTTCATTACTGGGATTCTTCAGGTCATTTCCCATGGAAGTCATTGCCTTAATGATGGCACACTGTTCACACTTGGCAGGGCTGACTCGGTGAAGCCTTCCCACCCAGGGCTAAGCAGTGCCTTCCCAGCTCTCCAGTGGTGACAGATCTGTTGGAAGAGAAGAGGTGCGATTTTTCTTGAAATAGAATTTGTCCCCCTGGAGATATGAGTACCAGCAGCCCAGAAGGGTCCTATGACTAGAACAAAATTCCTATTAACAAAGACTTTGTGGGACATGGTGAGGAGTCCCAAATGTGTCCCTGATGCCAAGGTTAGATGAGCCCTTTGGTTTTTCACTCTGCTTAGCAAGTTCTGTGGGCCTTTCTTCTGCTACAAGGAAAGCACATAGAAAAAACATAAGCAGATGCACTTCCTTAGCTATTCAATGAAACGGTGTGATAAAATAGCACAATACATGTTGTATCCTTCATCGTTTAATGTTAACACCCATCCGAAGGCCACCTCCTTCCAAAGCCTTGCACATGAAAACCCAGTGTTTTCATACTTTCCTAATGGATGTGATCCAGGCCCTGGTCTGTGCTATTTGCCTGCCAGACGCGTCATTTGTTTAACACCAGTTTTTACTGATGGGGTGAAATCTGTAGCTTGCATCTTAGCAGAACCATAAATAAGATAGGTTCTCAGCCCTTAGGCAAAGGGAGTCAGGGCTCCTGCCTGAGCAGTCCTGAGCAGCCTGTGCTCCATGAACACCTCCCTGGCCCTCACCTATTTGTTTCCTTGTTCACACTGTAAAGAGTGACTGGTTGGTGCTAGTGGCTGAGCAGTTAACATTTTCAAGCTCATTTAACATCCAAGAGTTGACATGGCTTTTTAGAGGCAGAAATGTGTCCTGCCAGAGCTGGCATTTGGGCTTGAACTGTGACTTCAAAGTTGCTTTGATCCATACCCTCCCCAGTATCTGCCATCCCTGATTGGGGTGCTGAGTGATCAGGAGGGCGGCTTGTCCACAGTAGACACTGTGCAGCTAAAGAGGCACCAGGATGGGTCCCCATTGTGATCAGAAGGCTCCGTGCTCTGAAAGTCCCTAGCCCTTCAAGTGGATGCACTTAGGAAATCATTTTATGATTTTTTCTGAGTCTTAATGGAGAAAAACCTTTAAAAAAGAAAAAAAAAAGAAAAAAAAAAAAGAAAAAAGAAAAAAGAAAAAAAGCTTCAAATGGATTTGAAACCAAAACATGTCTTAAAGCTTCCAGTAAGTAATTTTTGTGCAATTTATAAAATTATTCAGGTGGCTGTGAGTCACTTGAGGATAAAAGTGAGGACACCATTTTTCTTGAGATTTTATAATATAACACCCACTTCCTGGTCTGTGTTCATGGGGTACTGCTTATGTGAGGAATTCATGCTTTAAAATAATAACACTACAAAATCCCGAGCACCAGAACTCCTCACATGTGACACATAACACTAGACTTCTTGACTTATTTGCAATCTGAATAAGGTAGTGAATAAACCCAAACAAACTAAAATGGCGTTCTCATAATACAGATCCCTGACCTCTATTTAAAATCCACTGAGGCTGTTTGTGTGAAATTCAGGATTTTTTAAGTTTTGGGAATGGAATTAATCTGATCAATACAACACATCACCTGTCACCTAATCCCCCCTCAGCCGACCAGCGCATGTCTAGCGCTTCTGCTGCCAACCATTGATAGATCTGCCAAGGCACACGGGCAGAGCTGCGTCGGGCAAGGTAGGCAGAAGCTCTGCCTGGCCTTGCGGCAGCTCACATAAATGTCAAATGAGTTACAAGAAACTTTTATTATAAATTTTAGAATTCTGTAATTCTAAGTGAGGATTTATAAATTAGTATAGCAAGTCCTTAACCTCCAAATAAGTTCCATTACAGGAGAATTGTTCTTAAATCAGATTCGCTCATAAGCCAACAAAGTGGCTCACGTTGTATAGCTATGAAAGCTCACAACTCAAATGTTCTAAATCAGGGACTTACTATATTCTGTATAGAATATTCTGTTGTCCACTCCAGAAGCAAGATTGTCAAAATTAGGAATATTCTTCTATGCTGTTTTTTTTTCACTTAGTGAAATACCTTAAATATTTTAAAGTACAATTTGAACCAAAGACATTTTTAAACAAAACTGCCTGGAGGAATTAGTTGGCACTTGAAGAAGTTATATTTTAAGGTACTTTCTTTAATATGCAAATCAGTTAAAATACATTTCAATTTTCTAGTCCAGGCCAATCCTCCTATTCATTTATTCAGTGAATGAACAAATGAATGAATCATTTTTTCATTTAGGTTGAATGTTGATTTAACATTTGCTATGTGCAAACACAAGCTGGCCTCTCATGTACTCTCTGAACAGTATGAAAATGCCAGTGAGTAGAAACATCAGAATGCAGGGATTTAAACCGCCAAACACAATATACTCATGAGAAAGTAATTACTTAGGAGAGGGCCACTTTTTTTTTTCTTTTTTTGAAAGGGTCTACAGGGTGTTCAGGGTCTCACTACTAGATCAGACTTGTAGTGATCCACCTGTTCACAGCCTCCTAAGAGCTGGGGTTACAGGCGCACCACCATGCCCAGTCTCAATTGAGATCTCAGTGCGCCCTGGCAGTGCGCCCAAGGACTGAACCCTGGGCCCCTGAGCCTGCTTGCAGGTGCTTTAATCTGCTGAGCTATTTGACCAGCCCTGGACCTGCTTGCAGGTGCCTTAATCTGCTGAGCTATTTGGCCAGCCCTGAGATGGCCACTGTGAAATAAAACAGCTAACAAAATTGACAAAAGGAACTGGTTGCTTGCGTCACAAGCTCTTGGACTTTGCAAGATGCCAGAGGCTTTGACTGCCAGCCACAGTCAGGAAGCCCTGATATTAGTGAGAGGTTACCTTTGGAGAAAAGTAGGCGGTAAGAGTCACTTAGTTTCATGTCACCTTCGCAAAGAGGCTTAGCACTAGATGAGTCCATGCAGGAACTCAGAAGCTGTTATTTGGGAATTTAAAAAGGCAAAAAGTGTCCATTTGTACTAATTAGGAAGTTTTGAGAGGCCCAATTAGATTAGGCAAAGCCCTCTTGCCTCTAGGAGGATATGAATTCAGCCCTCATTCCTATTGATCTTCACCTAAAGTGTGCTTGCAATTAATATATATGTTTTCAAAACTCAGAGAGAGAGAGAGAGAGAGAGAGAGAGAGAGAGAGAGAGAGAGAGATTTTTAAAAAGGAAATAAAGACTAGAAAAAAGATTTTGGAATACTATGTGGGGCCAAGAGCAGTCCCACATATAGAATCTTAGAAAATGTAAGGAGAAAATCCAGAAAAGGTTAGAAATTAGATGTTGACCTTAAAGGGGCACATGCACCAAATGTAACAAACTATAAATTAAACACTGGTTCTGTCCTGTGGCAGAAATCTCCCTGGTTCTGTGAGGAATGCTGGGGCCACCACAGTGATCCAGGATGGTTAATGACCAAGCAGCTGGTACCCAGGCCTGGGTGCCACTCTGGCTGAGCAGATGAGCCCCAGCCACCTCCCTCCCTTGCGGCCATGCGGTGCACTGGCTCCATGAAGAACCCTTTGTTCTTCCTTTCAGTAGCCACTATAGCTGCTCTGTGTTTTATTTCCAATTAAATTTCAACTAATCCCGACCTAAAGAAAAACAGTGTTGCTGGTGCTCCCCTCTCTCTCCCACCAGTGCTATGGGTGACAGAGAAACCGGTTATTGTACAAGCCCCGCCTTGGACACACCATGAAAGACGCATATGCCACCAGTTTGCCAACAAGTGCTTTCAAAAAGGTGCTTAATGGGCCCCTGGGCCCTGGGCCGCCAAGGCAGCCTGTCAATGGTGCCTCTTGTCGGCATGGTTGCTATAGTGAGCCCTTGTTTTTAATTCAGTTGCACAGTAAATAATACTTAATACACAGTGGGAAACAAATGGCCACTATAAATTGCCCTCTTCATCTGGTCAAAAGGGGGCATTTATGCTCTAAGGAATGGAGAGGAGCACCTGCTTCCTCAGCTTATTTGGATGTCAACTCTCCCTCCACCTGGCAAGGTATTTAGGTTTTTGGGGGGTTTGAAATACTTGCATCAATATGAAAACCACATTTATCAACATTTTAAAAAGTGATATTTTACTCAAACACTTCCAGTCTACTTGGGCTGAGTCTAAGCAAGAGGTGGATTTTTTCTATGTGTCAATAGTCCTTCATCCCACGACACTGAAGAGCTAGAAACTAGAAAAGCATAGTGCCAGGAAAAGAAGGGTTTAGTAAGCATCTATAGCATATGATAAATAGTTGAGAGCTTTGGGACTATCTGAGCACTCTGGAAACGAGGAAAAATGGTAGTGGCTGAAAGAAATCAGGGGGGATGAAGAAAGGAGCCCCCTCTTGGTGTGACACAGTTGGAGAGGGCGAGGAATTCAACGCTACTGAGAAATAGAAATACAGGAGCAGAGAGGTTAATAAAATGGGGACATATTCCTCTCTCTAGACACAGGGAGGTGAAAATTACTTATCACCTGCTGGAGTGGATGTGAGAACAGGCCAGTGACTGAGTGTGTGTCGGGGAATATTTTGTAACAGATAAGCAGTCACCAAGATGCCCTGCAACAGGCTTCCCAGCAGAACAGCATCTTGTGGCTGCTGTCTCCTCATTACAGGACAACAGCTGTTTCTGACTATAATTAGCTCACAGTTCAATAGTTAGCTCTAGTCTCTTACACCTGCACTGCATACAACATGGAAATTACAGAAGCACATGTTGTTTTTTTCTTAAATCACCTCCACTTACACACATTGTTAAGCATCTAATAGAAAACAACCATACCTTCCCTAGTTCTTTTCCTCCTTGGCTTGCTTTTTAAAAGCAAGTTGGGAAAAACTCTTTGTTTTTATGGGCCCCAGTTCCCATTTCCAATCTCACCTCCATGCTCCACAGCCCCCCTGAATTAAAGAAAGTCTCCAGCCTTGTCAACCAACCCACCATGCATCAGGCCATAAAAATCTTATTTTCAGCCACCTGCAGGATGATGGAGAGAAGAGGAAAGTGAACAGGGAAAGGGGAGGGGGAGATCTCCAGCTGGCCGCTGAAGATGGTTTCAACAGATTCTTTAGGGGACGGGAGGGTGCAGATCTAGGGTCATTTCCTGCCGGGTCTGTGCTGTGTAGAGGGAGAATCCATAATCATGCTGCCTAGCAGTTCCATTAGTGTCAGAACTCATTAGGAGCCCAATGCACTCGGCGGCAGTGGGCACACAAAAGAAAGAACCAGCCGAAGTCTGCAGACTGGCTGCATAGCGGTTGTTAGAATTGGGGGCAGACAGGAAGGAGGGATTGTAAAATTTCTGACTGGGTAATTAGAGTCAGCAGGGAGGCAGATAGGCAATAGCAGACCTCTCATTTCTCTCCTGGGGGTTTTAAAGGATTGGCAGGGGTGCTTTCTTCCAGGGAGGGGTGAGGTGGCCTGTGTCATCATTCACAAAGAAAAATGATCATCCATTTGCACTGTTTCTGGATGCAGCCAAGGAGGCGGATGTGGGTACTGTTGTTGGGATCTGGTTAGGGGAGAAGATCAGGATGGTATAGGATGGTTGCCTCAGGAGTAGTTCACCAGTGCAACTTGGTTGACTAGCTGACATCTAATAAATTCATATGAATGGGTTCCAGTTCCTCTCTCACTGTTTGTGTAAGAACACTTATAGAAGCGGTGGGGATGTGACAAAATATGGTAATATTATTATCCATGCCAGCTACCTTTGGCATTATAGTATGTCATTTTGATTTTCTTCAGATTCAACTATAGCAAAAGAAGTAATGTGATGCCTATTATGCTTACTTTCATGTCAACTTTATAAAATATAAAATGTGTATCCAGCCAAATAGAATTTTTAAAACATTTGTAATTGAGATGCAATCTATGTGCAACAAAATGCACCTATCTAAAGTGTGTAATTCAATGAGTTGTGAGAAATGTACACCTTTGCATAATGAGCATTATGATAATGTTCAGAACATTTCTGTTTACCTAAAAATGTTTCTTCTTACCCCTTTGTAACCGGTCATGTTCTCAGCTCCACCCTAATCCTGGCCCAAGACAACCACTGATGCTTCTTTCAGTCCCTGGGGTTTTGCCTTTTCTAGAATTTATGATGGTAATGGAATCATGCAGTGCATGGCTTTTGAGTCTGGCCTGCTTCAACCAGTACAGTGCTTTCAAAATGTTCTATGTTGTTGTGCTTTTCAACAACCTGTTCCTGTTGCCTGCTGGGTAGTACTTCCTTGCTTAAATATACCACAATTTGTTTTCCCAGTCTCCATGCATGGAGATTTGAGCTACTCCTGGTTTGAGATTATAATCAATAAACCTATTGCTCTGAACATTTAGCTACAATTCTTGGTAGTGTTTCACTTCACTTGATGATTTCTTCTGTTATTAGACAGGAAAATAAATATAATAACCTGATACAACGAATCATTCAACTAGAGAAAAATTGTGGCTATCATCTCAGCTAAGTTATAGGAATAAGTATTATTTTATGTTTTGTACAATGTGATGATAGAGTAGGATGATGGAAGCATGAGTTTCAGGTGCCATCTCCCATGTAAAGACATTTAGTTGGAACCCAAGTTTCAAATGACCCTCCAGTGTTCATGATGGAGTTGTGTGATCAAGTTCAAAGTCAGTGAATAGTATATATTAAAATTAAAATAATATTCCATTAAAACTTAAAGTTAAAATTGTTCCATTAAAAATAATATTCCATTAAACACCAAACTTGCAAACAAGTTTTCTTTTCATAGTTTATAATCTGAAAAGTCTACAGATTATAAAACTGCATACCAAATATGCAATGAAACTGTGAAAATTGGGGATATAATAAATTGAGAAGACATTATTTTTTGGTTGTTTATAATCTAAAAAGCCTACACATTATGAAAGTACACACCAAATATCAAATTAAAGTATTCCTCTATGTGAGGAAAAATAATTAAATAGATAGTACTTCCTTGGCTTCATTAAAATAACGTTTCTGAAGACCTTGGGAAATGGACTGCTGTAGACTGATTAGGACGCACTGAGAAGAGGGACAGCATAACAGCTGAAGTATAGAAAGATCCATAGTTTTGTTCCAATGCTGTCATTTACATAACAAATGGGCTCAGATTGCTCCAAAACACAGTGGCATCTTGCCCTGCTGTGCTACGCTTGACTCAGAAAGTCAAGTCTTGCTCTTTGGGCTTCTTGCAGCTATGTGGCCAAAGCTTTGGGAACGGGGGCTGTGCTGGCCTGTGCACAGATGTGGTCTATGGAGGAGAACAGAAGGTGGCCACTCTGCTGCCCTTTGGCAGTTCACCAGTTGATTAGCTTAAAAACTACTTTCTTCCAGCATCAATAATTTCTATCATTTTCACAAAAACTAGAAAAGGCCTAAAATAAGAAACTAGCTTAAGCACCAATTTTTAAGCCAAAGCTATATTTTATAGAACACCTGAAACCAAAATGATTCTGATTGCATTCTGTTTTCCTAGTTCCTTTGTTTAAGGTCCTGACCTTAACTTTGCTATTATACATTTTGGGATTTCTGGAGGCCAGCTTTACCCTGAGGGAAAATAATGATACAAATAAGCTTTAATTTTTTTTATACCTAACCTTACATCCTAGGGTCACCACTAAAACACATCACATTGAAAATCTGCAAGGTCTTAAGGCCAAGCTCACAGGAAAACTAGAAGCTGTGAAGGACATAGATCTGCTGAATATATTAAGTGTGCATATGTGTATGTGTATGTTTTTTTCTAATCCTCTAAGGTAAATTTATACCAACCCATACAGATGTACTCTTTTCTGTTTATTATTCCCAGTTGTGTAATGGAGGTTAATGTTGTGCAAAGGGAAAAAAAATCTGGAGTTTGACAGCTCTCCACCTATTTTATTTTAAGGCAAAACAAAGAAAATGAAAGCTTGTTCTTTGGGCCAGCAATTCTCTCTCACTAATTCTACCCAGACTGGATCATCTTAAATCTGATTTGGGATTTGAGCATTATTTGGATTAGCTCATTAGAGGGGCACCGTTCTGACAAGCCACTAATCTGGGGCACTGGTGCACAGCACCATGACAATATTATGCTAAAAATGAGAAATCTAATGAGATTAGACAGATCCTCGTGCAAATGGTCTAACGGGAATTTGCATGGAGATCTGTGAGCTAGGGAATGTGGGAGGGGGACAGATTGAGGTGTCCACCGAGCCAGATCCTGGCAGCCTGAACACCCACCTAGAGCAGTGATTCCATTTGAAAGGCAGCTGTGTCTCACCTTTTCTAGGGAGGTTTTGTGGAATAGCAAACAACTATTAAAATGGATTAAAATGTAAGGATAATAAAAGAGCATTAATTACGTTGAAGGTGTAGGTATCAGGGAGAGAGGCTGTGAGCAGAAAGGGGCCTTTATGGTAAAACCCTGACAGGGTAAGGACTAACTGGCAGCTGCAACCAGCAACCTCTTAACTCTGCAGTTGCTTAGTCCATGCTGGCTATCCAGGAAAACTCCACTGACGTTTTCCTCCCTTCACTTGTAATTTTAGTTGCTTTTAAGCTAAGCAGAACATGCTGGCTCCTTCTTTGTTTACAATGGGGCTGTCGCTAAGACCAGAAAATGCTGGGCTCCAACAATGCATGATTTATAACGCCCAGATGTGGACATGGGGAAGCGGACAGCACATGGTGGACAGGGGACTCTGGGTTTCCCCCAGTCCTTTCCTTTCCTGTTCACTCCAAGAGGGGGGAATAAAAAAGTTTCCACAGCATTTTCTTGCTTCTAAGTGGAAAATGAAGCCATTAACAGAGCCTAGGAGTCAGCCCCCTGGAGGCAATTCCTTTTTCATGTTGTGCTGTTCTGCCACCCAGTGGTGACTTTTACGACTCCGTTAAGACCTGCTTGTGATTAGATGGCTCCTCAATTTAGTAATCGTTCTTAAACTGAGAAGAAAGTTCAGTGTCACTTCATTCTGTGAGTCATCCTTAAATTGAGTAATTGTGTAAGACAAAATCAAATATATTTTCAATACATGTTAATAACCTCCCAGGTCAAGCATGTAGTCCCTTGGTATGTCTTTCTTCGCCAGGCAATCAATGAATTAAATCACACATTACCATTTAACTATCTAGAGCTGAATTCAAAACAGAACTGGATTCTACTTTCCTATCTACATTTTCAAAAATGTTTACAGATTTAGAGGAGAATTTCCTGAAGAAACTAATAGATGATCCATTTTAATGTAGTATCTTTGTTTGAAGTATGTTCAAGAGTCAAGGAGGACCTCAAAGGTATCAGAACAAGTCAAGAACGCCAATGCCAACCTGGGACAAATAGAGGACACAGACAAATTCCTTGTGTTATACAATCATCAGAACTTTCTAAAGCAGAGAAAAGGATTTCACGGGGGAGATTAAGAAGATCCTTAGCTAAGAAATGTATCTTTCAAAACACACTTTAACTTTTACTGCCAGAAAATAAAAGGCAGGGTGAAAAATAGTTTTCAGAGTCCCCAGCCTCAAAATTCAGAGTTCTAAGAATCACTGGGAGATGGCTTTGAACACTGTTAAGTGTTACTTTTGAAAATTAAGCATAGTGTATCTATAGAGTTTCCCATACTCTATTTAGGGAAAAAAAAAAGGCTGGGAAAAGTGGACTATCCCTAAATTTCTCCAATACAGAGGGAAATTATTTACAACTCAAAAGATTGTTTTCCTAAATATAGTTGCTTATAAGAGCCTATGATGAATTTTTAATTTTCCCTTTCATCAAAACCCACAGTAGAGTTTTTCTTTTCTTGGTCTTTTCTTCTTAAGATTCATGAAATCCCTTTGTCATTCAACTGTAGCTGAGCAGTAATCTATTATTTCACTTAGACACACACCAAATGAGGTGATGTTGATTAATCAAAGTAGAAGAAGCACACATGCTTTGGAAACAAAAACTCAGTGCCTTTGCAGGAACGCCCATGGCCCTCAGGAACTCTGTTGCTAGGGAGATGGTTACCAGGCATAGGTGCTCTCCTGGCAGCTGCATTTACAGAGGGATGACCCCTGACAACTTGTTTGATACTCTTTGGACTCAAGGCATGAATGAAGGGCTTTCAAATATTGAATTTTTCCGGTGTGTGTTGGCAAGAGGAGACTGTGCTCTGTAACTGCTTTTTGAAAAAGTGGATAGGCAAGGGAAAAAAAAAGAAAAGAAAAGTGGGGAGATGGAGAACATGATTAGAAAGTCATAATGAAAATGGGAGATTGGAGAGATGTGGAAAATTATGGGAACCCAGAGACAATATGCCCTGATAATTTTTTTGCCTGGATAATTTTGGATTGTGCCCTGAATTTGATAGCAAGGCAAACCCAGGAGAACGAAGCTACTATGATGTGACTTGTGTTTACCATATTTTTGAAGGAAGACCATGTATCAGCCATGCTGTCAGTGCTGGCCTGCCACGTTCCACTGTGTCATCCCTACACCCACCAACAGAAAGTCTCACTCAGCATGGACTTAACGTACCAAGAGTCATCATTAGAATGGTTGTGCTGGGGGCACCAAATGCTCATACCTCTTCTTTTAAACCTTTTTCTGCTTCAAATATGTTTGCTGGAGACCTTGCCAAGATTTGAAATCCTTGAGATCTATTATCCAACAGTTCCCAGCACCAGTTCTCAAATGTTTCCCAGGGGACATTGCTGAATGTACTGTGGGTGTACTTGCACACTCAGTGTGAGTGGAGACAAGGGTCTTGTGTTTAGTGAACCTCAGAACCTGGTTGGGACCAAAAATGATGAAAATGTAATAGAACATGTTTTTTTTTTCCTGAAAAGTTGAGGACTGAAAACATACTGAGGGTAGATGCTCAGAAGAAACTTAGCAAGTCAATAAAATCATTTTATGAAAGTGAATTGAATTGTGAGGTGTTTTGGTGAGTGTGTATGTGTGTGTGTGTGTGTGTGTGTGACTCTGAGGTTGTAGAATAAGATGGTGGCAAAGTAGAAGGTCACAGACAAAAAGGCAGAGTAGCAGGTAATTAATTTAGTTTTGTTCACCTCTTTGGAGTCAATTAATATTAACATATAATATACATATTATTTTGTTGGAGTCCCATTCTTTAAGAAAAATAAGCACCAAAATTCTTTAAGAAAAAGAAGCACCAAAATTATATAACTATATCTATTATTACTTTCAGAAAGAAAGAAGAGCATCCTGTGTAAGCATGCCAGGTCACCACAGACAGCAAGAATCCATACCTTGCTGAATCCAGGAGAAGGCCAATGCTGCCCAGGGGAAGCCACCTCTTCAACCCTCAGGTATTGAGTGTCTGTCCACCAGGTGTTGGGGAGGTGTGTGAGATTTGTAGGGCTGTAAGCATGGCAGAGAGACAAGAAAGCACCAGGTCACAAAGCCTCATAAGCACAAGGTGAGACCTTGGATTAGTTTTATAGGCTGGGAACAGCATAGCTCACTCATTCAGTGAGTTATCTACCCTCCAGATTGAGTGAGTAAATTGACCTAAGAGTTATACAATACATCTTTATTTTTGCAGCAAGAAGGAAGAAAGTTGTGCCATGTGAAGACAGTGAGGGACAGGCTGGTAAGAGATCCAAGGCTTCACTGCTTCACTGAGTGGTGCGGTTCATGGTGAGGCTTATGTCTACCGCTGTGATCTTTTCCCCATACATGCAGTTAGAAGCCAAACATGCTTGCCTCTGGTCAAAATACTTGCCGTACATGTAAAACCTCTAATGAGGCAAGAGGTGTAAAGCTCATTCCAAAAGGAAATTCAACCATTCTTCTGTTCAAGGAAGAGAAAGGGCAGGGCAGAGACCATCTGCAGGAAATAAAAT